CCCCCCCCGAAGTCCTTTAAGGCCCAAAGAATATATAAACTAATAATCAATTAAATACCTAAAAAATCATACTAATACAAATTAACAAACTTTTAATTCGATAACAAATTTTTCAATTCGCCTCTTTTTCAAAATATGCGTCTAAGTTCTTTTGTTTTTCTTTGTACCCAAATCAAACTCAACTTCATCCCTGATCTTTTACAATGCACATACTACATTTGGCATTTTTATTTTTATTTTGGTACAAAGCAATTATTTTAAAGTTAGGACCATTAGAAATGCTTCTTTTAAAGAATTAGATGGTAAAACATGACTATTACTTGGATCATGATCATCTTTGATAAGTTAAATAGTTAATAAATAAGAAAAATTCAGTTTACGTGTAATTTTGTTTTAGAATGTGTGATTGAAAATGAAATTTGAAAAAAAAAAAAAAAGAATTTTTAATAAAACGGTACTCAAGTAAGGACTTCATTCGATGATTAGTAAATTGAAGTTGAATTTGCTTAATGTTTGATGTTTATTTTTTTATTTAGGCATGTGTTACTAACAAATGAATATGGTAATAGATTTTAATTTGTATTTATCATTTGAACAATTAAGTGATGAAAGCATAATCAAATCAAACCATAATTAGAATATAATGGTTCGATTTCAAAATATTTAGTGAAAATTACATATTATCGGAGTTTTAAACTTCCCAATTCAAAATTAAGATTTACAATTTTATTTTTTTTCAAAAATTAGAGAATTAAGATTTTAAATATTATTATTAATATTTAAAGTTTAACCCAACCCGCAACCCCAATCCTATTTCTTCGTAAACCCTAAACATTGTTTCAACTGTCTTATCCATCTCTCTATCTTCTCTCTTCTCACTCGCTCTACCAACCCACCATTGCCGCAGTTATCCTTCTCGAATCTAACAACGATGCTCTCATCTCTTGTATTTGCATCTACCTATATCTTACCTATTCTGTATTTGTCGACGAAGTCATTCGCGGTCTTTGACAGGTCCTCTCCTTCATCTCTACCGACGACGCAACATCGCACCATTGTCGTGGGATGCGACCTATACCGCCTTTGTTCTCTCTCATCCATCACCTAGTCGTTGCTTCCCTATCCCACCAAATATGCATAGCAACTTGTGATTGTCACACCGTGCGGCTTGAATTTGTGCCGCACCGCGGGGAATAGTGTAGTGTCTCTAGACGTGAGAGACGACTTTTGTGCACTGGATCTAAGTAGTGGCCATTGCGTCACCGATGAATGAAGAGAGACTTATGAAAATTAGGTCCCAATCCGTGGTCATGGTGGTAGTGTGCAGTGATCGTGATAAATTTGGATTTAGTTTTTTTTTTTTTTTGGGTATTTGGATTGTGGTGATGATGGTTGTGATGTCGGATGTGGTGGTGATGTTGATAGTTGCGGTGGTGAATTTGGTGTTTGTGTTGGCAGTGATAGTGGCTGTGGGTGTAGCAACAACGGTGGTCATGAATAACGGTGGTGGTTATAAATTTTTAGGTTGAATGTGACAAATAAGTTGAATAATTCATGACCAAAAATAATGTGACCTGAAAAATTGTTAAATTGTGGTCAATAAGTTGAAAATTTGTGACTATTTATTTTAATATTTTGTAACCAACGAATAATATGCGACATATTAGTTTGATAAATTTGTGACTAAGAAATAAGTTGTGATCTACGAGATTTGTGATTTGTGACTGCGACGACATCTATAAATTTGATTAAAACATAACTGTGACCTTAATATATTTAATTAATAAAAATATATTTAATTAATTATTTTATAAATAAATTTTAATTAATATTTGATTTTTAAAACAATAAACTTTGTTTCTTTAATCAAAAGAGAGGAAAAGAGAAGAGGAAACAAAAATAAATAGACTTATATATATTTTATTAAGAAACGATGCTCTATATTTATGGGGAAGAATCATGGATTAAACAGTAATAATATTTAGAGTTGCAAGATACAATTGTCATTCGTTAATAAACTTATCATTTACAACATTCCCCTTAAATGACACGTTATAAAATATTTATCTCGTTAAACCTTATTTGATAAAAATCAAATTGGACAAAAAAACAAACGAAGAAAAAAGAGTTCTGTTCTTTTTTGAATATTAAAAATAAGTGTTGTCTCATTAAAATCTTGTTAGGAAAATTCGGTGGGATAAAATCTAAGCGAAGGAAAAATAGTAAAACTACTTTCCCTAATGTTGATCACTGAAAATCTTTGAGTCAATGCATTCCAATGTCATAAACAAATTTTTTGAATGTAAATGTCAACAGTGTTTTTGTGAATAAATCGACCATATAGTTACATGAACCATTTTGTTGGACATGAATGTCACCATTCTTTTGAAACTCATTTGTATGAAAGAATTTTAGAAAAATATGTTTCGTCCTATCACATTTGATATAGCCTTATTTGAGTTGTACAATATAAGTTGCATTGTTTTCATACAAATTTGTTGGACCATCTTTTGTTAAAGTTAACGCGTATGATGCTTGGATATGATGGGTTAAGTTCCTCGAACATACATATTTTTGGCCTGCTTCATAGATCATCCTCATATGACATCAATTCATGTTGAAATATTTAAAACTGGTGTGTGAGGTATTGTTTATTTTTTTGATCAACAAATGAATCTAAATAAATTATTTTTCAAACTTCTAGTTCTAATGATATTTTGAGAGGATTTAGATGATGATATATATACACATCATTTTCAACTTCTTAATTCCTCCCCCTATGCTAAGGGAATTGTCCAATCAAATTGACAATCATTTTTTCAGCGTTATAAAATATCGCCCATTTAGGATAAGGGTTCAAACTACGTATTTATTCTCAGCGTTCTTTATTTCCCATCTCGATCGTCGTGGTAGTTAAATTTGACATGTCCTGTACCATCAAAATAATTAAATAGAAAGATTAGGCCTTGATCATAAGACAATTATAATTTGGAGAACTATGATGTTTGCACGATGAGTAATAGAATTTATTAATACAAAAATGGGAAGTATTAAATTAATTGGAGGTATTAACCATTTATCGTCATCCCAACTAACACTTATTAAAATATTGAGATTTATGCCCACTAGTATAATAAGACACGATCTTGATTATATAATTTGAAAAATATGCTCATAATTTAAAATTTGAGTAGTAATTTCACAAATTTCAATTTGTGCACACCATGCTATCATATACTATATGTATCAAATCTATTAGATACAAATAATATTTAGATGATCAACGTGTACGATGATATGGCCCTATTTATCACCCTAATTAATTTTTAGAATTATAGGAATTCAATCCCTATTTTAGCAACTGATGGTTAATGAAATTTTTTTTTTATGAAAGATAACAAACATTAAATATGATTGAATTGAAGAGCCTTTTAGTTCTTCATTGAATATCCATTTAAATTTTTAATTTCACATAATTATTAATCCATAAATGATCCAATCGATCATGCCAAACAATAAAATTAAATTGAACTTCTGGTTCAATATAAGATATAATTTGATGATTTAATTTTAAAAAATACGATTAAAGCTTATATAATTATATATTATTCAAATAGTTAAATTAATCAATGTCCCCATGACATTAATTACATGTTTTTCTTCAGGAATAAATATGAATTCAAAATGATATATCTTTCGAAAATACGCTACTTCAGGAGCACGTTATATTTTACTACCACTTCTTTAAGAGTAATATATCAATATTCTTTTAAAGTATTAAAAAATATAATTTATGCTCTTCAAAAGCAAATAATACACTTTCGAAATATTAAAAAAAAATATGGTTCATACTATTCTGAAGCAAGTAATATTTTTCGAAGAATATTACTTATAATATCGTGCTATTTCATGAGCAACGATATGATAAATTATCAATTTAACATTTATATCAGAAAATCTAAAAATATTTAATTACCATATAAATATAATATGAATTTATATAGAAAAATTAATCACCAAAAATCTATACGTAAAAAAATCTCTCAAATATGCACGTGAATTGATTTCATACATAGACTGCATAATATGACAAAATAATCATTATACATATAATGAAATAATCATTATAGATTTACGTGAAGCAAAAAAAAAAAAATCAAAGAAGTAGATGAAGAAACAGCTGATACATATGCATATAGAAAAATTCACACATCACCAAATTATTTTTGGTACATGTAATAGATGATTATGTTTTAAAAAATTAATATATTCACTAAACTTTGAAAAATGAAGTATTCATACTGATAACGTGTTATGAAAAGAGAGAAAAAGAAAAGAAGGAAAAAGCATAAATAGACCCGTGTGTATTTTATTAAGAACAAAAATCTTATATTTATAGGAAGGAATCATGGATATAACAGTAATAATTTTCAGAGTCATGGAGGTATAATTGTTATTCATTAATAAACTTACCATTTACATCAGCTTTTTAGTTTTGAAATGAATTATACTTAGGGTTTGTTTGAGACGTATTCTTTCAAAAAATACATTTTTAAACAGTGATTAGATATCATTTCAATTACACATTTTTCTATAAAATAATATTATACGCAAATTCAAATTTTTTTCTCATTTTTTAATCACATATTTTTCATCAATGTACTATTCCAAAGTGCATGATTTCAAAATAATGTGGCTCAAACTGTCAAACACATCATCTCTTGTAAATGAAAATTTTCCAAATATTAAACTATGTGACTCGTACTACCTGAGCCCCACTCTGCCCAACACCAACTAGACCATTGAGCCCAACATTAACTAAAGCCCATTAAGCCCAATAGAGACAAAACTTGACTAGGGTTTCGAAAGAATATATTTCAGAAGGCTTCGCACCATCGCTTCCTACTTCCGTCCCTCGGAACCAGAGAAAACTAAAACTCTAGCAAAGTAAAGGGCAAGAAGTAGCACCAAAAAATGGCGACCGGACCAAGGATTCTCTCAAACAAAGAGGCCGACATTCAGATGATGTTGGCTGCCGAAGTTCACCTCGGCACCAAAAACTGTGACTTCCAAATGGAACGTTACGTCTTCAAGCGACGCAACGACGGTAAACATATGTGCATACATTACTACACAAACGTAGGTTTGCATTTATAATTGAATGTATTATTAGGCGGTGATGTATGTTTATGCTTCGTGAGATCTATTTTAGTGATTTTTTTCAGATGCGAATTCGAATTTATCCTATAGGGTTCTTGTTTTTCAATTTGATGAATGATGCGCAACACCAAAAATTGTGATTTCCAAACGGAACGTTGATTAGATGAATGATTTTTTTGGACATACACTAATGTATATAAATCTCTTTCTATGGTTTTAATGTGACTAGACAATGTTTTTATATTGTTATTTTATCAAATTTATTAGGATGATTTCCTTGCACTTTTTGTTGGATGTTATTTCTAATTTCTGTTTCCCCGTAGCAGCCTTAGCAATCCAAGGTGTTCATTGTAGTTGTCTAATTTTGCTACATCTTCTTGAGCTGGTTTCTCAATGATTTTTCCTTGACCAATCGTCCTGTTTAAAATTCTTGATAATGTCTTCGGGGTGTTACAGTGCTTAGTCTCAGTTGTGGTGTACTTAAATTTGTTAGTTAGTTCTTCTGTTATGGTTGATGTGTGATGAGATGATGCAGCATTTAGTAAAAATCAAATGTACCAAAGATGATTGTTTTAAGCAATTGTAGTCAGTTTCCTTCAACTTTTTTGTTCGTTCAAAACTAAATGAAACTAGATGGCTTTGGCTGACATTACTGCTACTCAACCGAGTCAATTCAACATTAATCCATAATGATCTCTGCTGTTTTACATATTCAATTAATTCCAATCATAAACAAGTTGTGCTGCCATTCATGCCTTTGACATGTCTGAGGGATGTACGTGCCCAGCATGTTGCATTTAGAATTTCATTTATAAATGTTTTTAATAATGAATTATCCTGTTTTGCTGTTTAGGAATTTACATCATCAACCTTGGGAAAACATGGGAAAAGCTTCAGATGGCAGCCCGGGTAATTGTTGCTATCGAGAACCCTCAGGATATCATCGTTCAATCTGCAAGGCCATATGGTCAAAGGGCTGTCTTGAAGTTTGCCCAGTACACGGGGACTCATGCAATTGCTGGACGCCATACTCCCGGAACATTCACTAATCAGCTTCAGACCTCGTTCAGTGAGCCACGTCTTTTGATTCTTACTGATCCAAGGACCGATCACCAGGTCAGTTGTTTCTATTTTTATTCCTGGTGCATCTGTTCTATACCATAGTGCTGCAAACACCATTTTAATAATCATTATTCTGATGCTTAATATATACTGCTGCAGCCAATTAAGGAAGCAGCCCTTGGGAACATCCCCACCATTGCTTTTTGTGATACTGATTCCCCTATGCGCTATGTTGATATTGGTATCCCTGCCAATAACAAGGGGAAGCACAGCATTGGTTGTTTGTTTTGGCTCTTAGCAAGGATGGTTCTTCAAATGCGTGGTGTCATTGCTCCGGGACACAAGTGGGATATCATGGTAAATGCTATATATAGTGTTGTTCTATTGTTTAAGTGGCTAAAATTTGACATCCTTTGGAAATATACAAGGACTGTGTTCTGTGAAGAGGGATCTGATTCCCCATCCAAGTTTGGTTCTTCATGTTACACTTGTGTGGTGTCTAAAAGTTCTGGCGTGATAAAATATGGGAAATATGGATTCAATGATATCTCAGTGCGTCGATACATGTTCAACTTCTGATGTATTCTCTATTGGCAGGTCGATCTGTTTTTCTACAGAGACCCCGAGGAAGCCAAGGAAGAACAAGAAGAGGAAGTACCCGCTCTCCCAGATTATGGTGATTATACAGCCGGCGCACTTGCTGGCACAGATTGGTCTAGTGGTCAGATTCCCGAAGCTCAATGGACTCCTGAGATGACAAGTGCCATTCCACCAGTTGCCAGTGGTTGGACTGCGGATGCTGGTTAGTGTTCTCTATTGTACAAGGGAATTGGTTTTTAATTTCCTGGGCAAATTACAGTTCTCAATATTTTTGGTTTTTTACTGCAAAATCGGAGAGTTCAAATATTTGAGAATCCAATAAATTGCAGGAGTAACTGCTGATGGATGGGACTCGGCTGCCCCGCCACCAATGGCAGCTCCTGGAGTTGATATAGTGCCACCGGCTCCTGCTGCTGCTCCAACTGGCTGGGATTAGTTAAAGAACATTTTTATTAGATTCACCCCTTGAAGAGCTTGGTTGTTTTATGAATATTTATGTTATCGATAATGGCACATCTTTTTTGTAGCAATGCTTGAGTTTTAGAGATGATGATGTCGGCAATGGCAACAAAAGCAATTTGTTTAATTTAGTTGATGATGAAATTTTTCCTTCATGCTTGGTATATGTTAGTGAATGGACAAGATTTTTAATTTTTCTTTCGATATTTTTCGTCCTTTTTAATATAATTTAAATGACGTTATATGTTGAAGATGATGAATAGCGTGTGTAAAAAATGCAGAAAATTTGCAAAGATTTATTAAAACTGATTTTTTCAAAGCATATAATCATCTTAAAAGTGAAAAACAGTTTTTTGAAAGAGAGTTTATCGAATTCTTTTGATTTCCTTAAAATTTCAAAATTATGTGTGGACCAACTGGGTAGGCCCTTATGAATTTTTGGGATAGACAGTCAGCCCTAGACGAGTAGTTTATTACAGTATACTAACTTGTGATCCAACCCAATCTCAATTCGATTTTGAATGGGTTCATCCAAACTTCAACAATCCAATCTATTTAGACACCAATAACGATCATTCTTCGATCTAAACCAGATAAAACTTGGCCCCAATTTGATTCCATTTCTTGAATTGAAAATGGGTCGAATAGTGTGTTTTTGAAAAATAAGTGGTTGAAGAAGAAGAAAATGTTTTAGATTTACATGTAATATTATTTTATGGAAGATTGTATGGTTGAAAATAGAAGAGAGAAAAATGAAATGTAATTTAATAGTGACCAAACAATACTTATTCTCTCTCTCTCTCTCTCTCTCTCTCTCTCTCTATTCATTTTATTCTTGATCTCTAATATCTTCTTTTCTACTCCACTTGTTCTTTTATTTAAAGTTGGATTAAACAAAACTCTCGAATCGTACCGAATTGAGTGGTTCTTCTTAAATTAAATATTCGAACGGGTATTTGAATTGAGAATCGACGGGTTTGGTTTGGTTCTTGGTTCTAAATCAAGAACCGAATAATTTTTTAATTAATTTATTTTAAATAAGCCAAGTTATTTTAATTTTTCTAAATAAATTTATTAACTAGTTAATTTAGTTCAAACAAAAAAAATATGATTTTCCTATTTCTAGTTTTCAGTTCAGTCAACTTAATCAAATTGACCAAAATTTTATCAAAATCTGTTATTCTACCGTAGTGCTGTTTTTGCCGTTCTAGAAAAATCGAATTGAAACCCGACAACACCTCTATTAATTATTTTGAGTTCGCCATTTTCCCTTTCCTGTGATTTTAACCATCAAATCTGTGAATAACTCAACAAAAGAGATGCAAAAGACAAATAAAATTGGATGCAAAAGACACATAAAATTGGACTACGTTATGTTGTAAGAACTAAAATTGAATATATCATTAGTTGAATTAATATAACTTTGTAAATATTAAAAAAAATTGATTATAATACGAAACTTGGGAACCAAACCGAATGAAATTGAATCCAAAAGGCTGCATAATTAAATTTGGATCAAACGGTTCCACTTACTAAATACCCGAAAATTTCAGGTCCGAACCATATCCAGCCCTAATTTAAAGAGGTGAAATGTAAAATAGTAAATGGCTCTTTTTAGACAAATTTCTCTCCTCTGCCTAAAGCTCGTCATCTAAAGAACAAACAGAACTAAATTAAGAAACAATTGTTAATACTAAAGGATACAATAATAACAAAATAGCACAAGCCTTTTTTAGGCCATCTGATCCAAAAATACTACACCAAACAAACATACAATTTGTAAACTTAAATAAAAGGACTATATTCAACATACAAATGACAGGAACAACCGAACAAGTAAATCTTTGTTTTAGGACGATAAGCACCAACTAATGTGAAGATTCCATACCCGACTCAAGCCTTAATTGTCACGCTGCATAGGCACAAACCCGATGGCTTTATCTCAGAAGTCTGCCATTGAATCCCGGGAGCTGCATTCGGATCATACGACAGGTGTTATAACCCGGATACTCCTCTACCAGAAACAGCAAAAGCTTACCATTTAGTATGCCAAATTGAAACCCAATGCTCGAACTCCCAGTCATGGCAACTGGCACCATCTTCCAAGAATTGTCCACTAAGGTCGAATATTGCTAGCTTCCGTTCGTTCTTCCACTCCATGCAAAAGAGCTCCTTCCCAAGCACAGCTTGTGCAGTAACCATGACACAAACCATTTTTCATCTCACACCATATGTGCATCTCCGGCTTATACACATCAATAAACTTTGAGTTTCCAATTGTGAAACTTGACCTCCCACCCATAATATGAAGGCTTTCCCTCAAACCCACATGCAAAACATGCCCACCTTGGGCGGCGTCGACTCTCAATTAAAGTCCACTTGTCAGTATCCGGGTCGTACACCTCAGCATAAGAAGAGATTCACCATCGTGCCGTATCCTCAAACTGCATAAACCATGCCATTTAGCTCCGCACAACCAAAGTTATGCCGTGCCACGTTCATGCTAGCCAATTTGCTCCAGCTACCACAAGAATTAATTAGGACCAAGAATGAGAGCTATTATATTTTCTGGATATTTCGTTTTGCAACAATCAGATAATCAAGAGATACGTGATGTGTGAGAAATTTCTAGCATGACTATTTATGCATGAAATGAATTGCGACATAAGCATCGATTTCAAAGATTATATCGAAAGATGGCATTAAAATTACTGTATGCAGACGATATTAATGGAGCAGCTTGTTTCCAATTGCTAACTTAATGTCAAGTTTATGATGCCCTTTGATATTGTATAATAAATGATTTGGAGGGAATTTCACCTTTTCACAGGTGAAGATTCTCAATAACAAAGGCCTAGCAGATTAATTGTCATGGGGTGGATTTATCACCATTCACGACGACAATAGATTTAGTTGCCAGTTGGCCTCTTCTCAACCAATATCAGCTTGCAAAAAATCATACTCAGTGTGGAAATACATTAATGAATCATCAGAAAACCAAGCTATAGCTTTGATCACGGCCAGTTAACTCACTGGAGAAATCTAGCTGAAAAACAATTGTATCCAAAATACAAACGCAAGTTTGGAAAAAGGACCGTCTCCCTAAATGCAAGTGTCGAAAATGAAAGTCATTCATGAATATTCACCAAAACACCAGCCATGCAAAATCTACCAAATATGCCATCATATAAAACTTGTTCTGGTGTTCAGTATCAACACAGGAAAATCGATGTAGTAGATGAGGAGAGGGGAACTAGAACAAGGTTGTGAGAAGAAGAGAAGCTGAGAAGGGGACGCTGAGAAGAGGAGAGAAGAGAAGAAGAGAAGCTGAGAAGGAGCAAGCAGCGCCTAGGTGCTGGAGTAGGCGCCTAGGTGCTGCCCAGTTTCTGTCGAAGCAGAAACTGGGCACCTAGGCGCCATGTCCAGGCGCCTAGGCGCCCCAAGTAAGTTTCCAGACAGAAACATGGCGCCTAGGCGCTCCGATAGGTATATATATTGCCAATTTTTTTTCCCTCTTTCATTAAGTCACAACCCTTGCACCCGAAAATAAGAGAGGAAAAGAGAGAAAATTTGGAGAGAATTTTACAAGATTGAAGGTTGTTTATCTTGGGTATAAATTCAAAGTTATTTTCTTTCTTGGGGATTAACTTGAAGGCTTGTTCAAGTAATCCAAATACATTGTTATTCATATATTTCATTGAAATCATTTCTTCCTCATTTTCTTGTTCTAGAAGTGGTTTGAAAATTTTCACATTGTCAACTTTGTTTGATCTTTGGGCTATCCAAGGGAGGTGTTTTTCCCAACAATTTGGTATCAGAGCTTCTTCCGAAATCAAGGTGGTTAAGCTTCGATTTTGTGGTGAGTTGCTTGAACTTTGTTGTGCACAAGGTGTTTGTGAAAATTTTCAAGTGAACTTTGGTGATTTATTTTCGGTAAACAAGTGGATAAATCATGTCTACTAGAGGAATGGTGAAGATTGGGAAGTATGAGATAGAGAAATGCAATGGGAAGAATGATTTTTCATATTGGAGAATACAAATGAAAAATTTGTTGATTTCTCAAAAGTTGCACAAGGCATTGGCGGGAAAGGAGAAGAAGCACGTTGATATGTCGGACGAGGATTGGGAAGAGCTAGATCTTGAGGCACAAGCGTCTATCATTCTTTGCCTTGAAAGAGATGTTGCTTTCTTGGTTGATAGTGAGGTAACAGCGGTGGAGGTGTGGACAAAGTTGGAGGCGAACTTCATGATGAAGACTCTAACAAATCGGATCTATTTGAAGTCCAAATTGTATACTTGCAAAATGGATGAAGGTACACCAATCCGGGAGTACATCAACAAGTTTGATAGGATCATATCGGACTTGAAGGACATTGATGTGGATGTAGATGATGAGGATCAAGCACTTCTACTACTTCTTTCATTGCCAAAGTCTTACGAGAACCTAGTACAAACATTAATGCTTGTGGGTGATAAACTTGTGATGGAGGACACTAGAACGTCACTTCTAGCGAATGATCTTCGAAAGATTGCAACTAGTGGCATGTCTACCATTGGTAACAAGGAGCAAGCTCAAGGATTATTTGTAAGGGGTAGAAGCAATGTGCGACCAAAGGGCAAGGGAGAAAAATCTAGATCGAGTTCTAGACCTCTTGCGGAAAGGTTTTGTTTCAAATGCGGCGAGCTTGGGCATTTCAAGGCGAATTGTCCTAACAAAAAGGGTTGGAAGAAGAACAATAAGAACAACAACAACGGAAAGGTGCAAGTCAAGCAAGAGGTAAGCTATGCCTCGGAAGGAGGGGAAAGCGATGAGTGCTACACCATCTCTTGTGATGAAGAAACCTCCGGCAAGTGAATTCTTGACTCTAGATGCTCTTACCATATGTGTCCAAATAGGAAGTGGTTTACTACCTATAGAAGCACTGATGGTGGAACCGTGTTGATGGGTAATAACCATTCATGTAAAACGGTGGGGCTTGGTTCAATTAGAATCAAGATGCATGATGGAGTGGTTAGACCATTGGTGGATGTTAGACATGTTCCTGATTTGCGAAAGAACCTTATCTCTGTTGGTGCCTTAGACTCCGATGGTTGCAAGATTGTAACATGGAATGGAGTAAAGAAGGTTGTTCGTGGTTCTTTGATTGTGATGAAG